TATATAGATCAATAGAAGTCGACAGAGTTCGAACCTTCAAATAAATACACGATTGTGGGGACTGATGTATTTATTTCAATACATTTATATTAGGACTTCAAGGTCTATAATCAAAAGAATTCACTAAACAAAAGGCACAAAGCCTACAAGAAACTCAATCCTCGATCAACCGCTTGGTCGAGTTGACAGAGTTCAAGCTAAAAATGGAAATGACCCCCAAACACCCCGATGATGGCCGTATTGAATGCAGATCTCAACCGGAGGGGTTCACAAAATATTTCAAAATGCTCTCAAACTTCTACAAAATTCAAATATTTTTCAAGTGACCTTGAGGTCACCCCGATGATGGCCGTGTTGAATGTTTATCTCAACCGGAGGGGTTCACAATCATTTTCAAATGTCTCTCAAATATCCAAATGCCTATCAAAATCCAAAGCTCCACAAAAATACAAAAATCCAAAATCCCAAAACCCAAAAATATTTAAAATTGAAATTAAATCCATCAATCACTTAAAGCAAAGTCCATCCACCCTCCGTAACAGTTTACCGGAGTGGACAAATCAAAATTTACCTAAGCTCACAAAAGAGCTAAATGCCTAGTCAAAAATTCACTAGGATCCATTCTCAAGCAGTCTTCTGCTAGTAAGGACGTGGTACGTGTTCTCTAACCGGCAGTTTTGCCGCCAAATGGCACTGCATGATAAACGGTTATGACCCGGGGCCCTCTGAACCGAGTGGTTTTGCCACCAAATGGCACCACAGATACCGGTTATGGCCAAAGCCAATACGCTCCTTAATGGTGTTAAATACTTGAGATATGAATCAATAGGATATGATCGATAGGGCACAAAGCCCTCTGTTAGCTAAGGTGGATTAGCCTTAATCGAAAGTTCTCTCTCATGATCGGGAGGGGTAATTAACTATATGGGCTTGCGCCTATAGGAAACCAAAACTCAGATCATAGAGTCCTCACAAAATGAGGGCGAAATCTCTGGGTAGTGTCTTATCTACAAACCCATCTGCCTTCCAAAATTTACCATGAAACATATCCGTTAAAACTCCCTCGCCGGAATAAAAAAAGCGAGCGGGGAGGCCGGGGCCGAATTTTCGGAGCCCACACCTGGACAATGGATAGGAGCATCAGTCTCCCCCTTTCTTTCAAATGGGGCCGCTATGGAAGGAACTAACTGACATTAGCTACGGTGAGGTAAGATTCCTTAAAACTTAGAAGACCCTAGACCCAATAAGCCCTTCTGTTATGCGACTCCCCAGCCTTACTTCCTTGTAGTAACCTGTTAAGTTTAATTTACATATATTTTTTTTAAACCCAAAACCCATTAATTTATGCTCGTGCATACGTCCAAAGGGTTAGTAATAGTGATTGTAATCCTACAAAACAGTAGTGTCATTTAAGGATAAAAATTAAGAACGAGTCTTATAAAACTTATATTAAATTTAGGATTCATATACTCTTTAGGAGAGAAATATTAAACATAGAAAATTTAGTGACACCTCACCCAATGATTAGTATACACTATTAAACTTGACTTCAAGTAAACTTAAATAATAATCAATTAATCATTAAACACTCTTTAAAAATTGGAAACTTCAATGATCAATAATGATCCAAATGAAATGCATAAAAATGCGTAACCTTCATTAATCAATCCTAATCATACACATAATCATAAATAGATAAAATTCAAACTTAAATCTAATTAAGATTTAATTAATACTTTAATTACCCCTTAATCAAATTTTAATTAAATAAATTTATTAAAAATGAAATAATATTCAAAGATATTTAAATGAAAATAAATTAAAGATAAAAAATTTTTAAATACCAAAATTAAAAGTAAAAGATTAAGTTTTAATTCATTTAATAATCAAATTTATTCATAATTAATTACATATAATAAAAATAATTCAAAATACATTAAAAAAATCTGAATTTATTACATGAAAGGTTCACTCTTCATAAGCCTATACACTTGCTATTTATTAGCCTAGGATTAGGTCCCCAGTCCGTTAGCCTATGAGGTCCCCTTGAATGAGGTAACTCATGGTTGCTAATTAGGATCCTCTGGTCGGCACTCGACTAAGTAGGCTAAGAACACCAACGAACCTAGGACGATGGAAAACTATGGGATCTTTACTGGGGATGTCATACCCATTTGGTAGGTTAGTCTCCACGCTCACCTCCTAGGCATTCTCCTAATCTGGTGCATGATCAAGGATATAAGTCCTAACTTTCTACTAAAATGTCAACTTGAATAAAATAAATCTCATCTTAAAATATTAAAACCTAACCATAAGATAGGTTGGAGTACTTCTAAGCTGTCTCAGAATCTTAGTGCTCCCTACTCTTCCTCTTTTGACTTTAGAATGAACTGTTCAACATTGATCCTACCACCTTGAAAATTTTAAAATCTCTCATCCTTGCCTCAATCTTTGAAATCCAAGAAAATAATTGCCAATACTTTAATCGAGTGATTTTCGGGGATTCACTTCTCCCGGGATATAATTAACCATAAGGTTGCCCTTATAGGGAACCTGTAACTCCAGATTAAGATAAACCTTATCATATTGAGAAAAATCTTTGGGAAAATAGATAATTTTTCAAAACTCATTTTTGTATTTGAATACCTTTGTAGAATATCATTTTCACCTTTTTAAGGTGATATCATATGATCATTGTTGTATTTAATAGCATGGAAAATTTTTAAAACCTCGATTTTGCCTTCCAAATATGATTTTAGAATGACATTTCTGTCTCTTGATATAGTATATTATTCTTTTATATGTATTTGATTACGAAAGCAATATAATTTTAAAACCCTATTTTTGTATCTAAATAAATTGTAGAATATCATTTATTTTTTTCGAGATTGTACATTATTCTCAATGTCGTATTCGGTCACAAAAATAGCAACATGAATAGTGGAGTTGTGATTATGATGATCGTTCGATAGTGTGGGCAGTAGTTGTTGTAGAGGTTGAGTTTGAGGTGAAGTTTGAGAAGGGAAGTTGTTTTCATCAAATGTTAACATGAAGAGAAACATAAATGCGATATGTTTGGGAATCAAGGCATTTATAACCCTTGGAGGTGCATGAGTACTCGATAAATACACATGACATTAATTTGGGAGCAAGCTTGTGGTGCTGAGTTGGTGACAGCTAGGGAAAATAGACAACCAAATGTCTTCAAAGTAGAATAATTCGGCACTGTGTTGTATAGAAGTTGAAGAGGAGACTTATAATTTGTGGACCTAGATGGCAATTGATTGATGAGGAAAGATGCCGTGAGAATAGCTTCTAACCAAATGTTATACAGAAGAGAGGCGGAATGTTACAGGGTACGAGTGGTTTCAATGAGATGATGATGCTTTCTTTCGTCCATACCATTTTATTCTGGAGTGTAGAGATAGGATACCTCATGTTGTATGCCATGGTGACAAAGAAAAGAGCTCATATGAGAATTTATGTATTCTTTGCCACAATCTGACAAGAGACATTTTATTTTATAAGATAGTTGATTTTCAATTAGATTTTTAAACCTTATAAAGATGGAGGCAACTTCAGAATTTTTGGACATAGGAAACAACCATATAAATTGAGAAAAGTCATCGATAAATGAAACATAATATTTGAAACTTTGATGTGAGGTAACTGAGGAAGGACCACATACATCAGAGTGAAATAAAGCTAGTGGATGAGATTAACTAGATGTAGAATTTGAAAAAGAAAGCTTATGGCCCTTAGAGGCCTTAGAATCATAACAAAGAAACTTAGAAGTGGGAATATGAAGTTGCTTGTGGCTATTGGAGATAGTCTTGAGCACTTGATGGTGAGGGTGGCCAAGACGTTTGCGCCATAGAGACGACATCTGATTAGTTACAGAGAGAGCAATGTGACTGATAGGCGGAACAGGGTAAAACCCATTAGAGCTTGGACCCTTGAGAAGAGCTTAATTCATCTTCAAGTCCTTAATAAGGAATCCATTTGCATCAAAAGATATAGAAATGTCATTATCTTTGGTTAGAGTAGAAATTTATAAGAGATTATGAGAGAGTTGAGGAATGTGGAGTAGTTGAGATAGCCGCAACTTATTGTGGGGAGTGGGTAATATGCTAGAGCCGGAGTGAGCAATCAGAATGGAGCGTCTGTCACCAATGGTAATGTTGTCTGGACCAATGTACGGTAGATGTTGAGTGAGGTTGTCCAGGGAGTTTGTCAAGTGAGAAGATGCTTCAGAATCAAGGTACTAATTGGGATTAGATGGTTCATTGGTGGCCATCAAGGCTTTGGAGGCAATGTGAGGCTGAGTGCGAGACACTGTAGGAATGTAGCTTAAATTGAGACGATGCCAGCATAGCGAGGATGAGTGTCCTTTCTTATTACATATCTTACATATGGGTAGGTTGATTGAAGATGAACGAGGAAGTTGAGAAGACCTGCCTCGTCGTCTACGTCCCCTGCCGCAAGAGGAATAAAGAGCCATGGCAGAATCGACGAGTGAAAGTTGTTTAAGGGATTCAGCTTGAATGTTGATATCTTCGCTGAGAAGCAGTGAATAGAGATCGTCTAATCCGATTGGATGAAGCATTGTGCGTTATTACTCTACCATGTGGTACAACAATTATGTTACCCTACCATATCTATATCATAACATAACCTAACCTTCCAATAAAATATATCTATCTAACATTTTAACCAAGCTTCATTTTAATAGAAATTACCACAGATGTCACTTGTGATAAAAATTTTAGAGGGAAATGAACTTTCCCAGAACTCAGACGAAAAGGTTCGTTCAAAAGTCTTTCCAGAACAAATTTCACAATCGTGACCAGTCCATTATCGCCATCAAAGATTACAGGAAAAGCAATGCATAGGCTCTCCTAGAATCCCAGAGTTGTTCTTTTCAAAGACTATTCAACAGAAAATTTTCCACAAAGTTATTAATATATCAAAAAAAAAAAAGATAGGATATTACAATATGAAATATATTAAGATAGAGTTAAAAGTTCTTAGAATTATTTAGTGATTAATATAATCTAAATTATAAAATAAATTTAATGACTTCCATGTGAATAGCAGAATAGGTAAACGCATATGCAGTCAAGCCTTCTTTTTTATTTTTTTTTAATGAAGTCCAAGTCTTTCACGAGTCTTTCACGCATCCCCCCTCCTTCCAGGCAATTTTTCTTGAGCGTCGCCAATGGTCTTAATTTTCGACAACATAAGCCACCGCCCACCCACCGGACTGCGAGCAGGCTATACTACATAATCAGCAAGCTCGAAAGAAATCCTTACTCCATATCCATCACTCATAATCTCTCTCTTTCTCTCTTTCTCTAACAATGTCAGGAATTCAAATCCCATCATTGGCTACAACCAAGACAATACTCTCTGCTGCAGCCTCCGTCGCGGCCTCTGCAGTGCTCATCCGCACCATGGTCAATGAATTTCTCCCCCACCCTATGAAAGACTACATCTTCTCCTTTACCTCCAGCTTCTTCACAAGATTCTCCTCTAAGCTCACCATCGTCGTCCAAGAATTCAGTGGCATCTTGCCAAATGAGATGTACAAGGCTGCTGAGACTTACCTTAGCACCAAGATCTCTCCCAATACACGTTGCCTTCAAGTTGCAAAACAGGAGGACTCAAAGGGCCTGGAGGTCACCATGGAGCAAGGGGAGACAGTTGTGGACTTCTTCCAAGGGATTGAATTTTCATGGAAACTGGTATCCCAAGAGAAAGAGAAATCAGTTCTCAACCGCCGCCGCAACAACAACTATATAACAGTAATGCATGAGACCAAATTCTTTTTTCTCAGCTTTCACAAGAAACACAAGGACAAGGCACTCACTGCCTACTTGCCTCACATACTGCAGCAGTTTAAAAATATCAAGCAGGAAGAGAAGCCAATCAAAATTTATACTGGTAATTATGAGAACATTTATCATGGCATGACAATGGATATGTGGAATGGAGTGAACCTCGACCACCCTGCGACCTTCGACACACTTGCAATGGATCCTGATCATAAAAGGTCAGTGAAGGAGGATCTGGAAAGGTTTGTAAGGAGGAAAGATTACTACAGAAGAGTAGGGAAGGCATGGAAGAGAGGGTATCTGTTGTATGGGCCTCCAGGGACTGGAAAGTCCAGCCTCATAGCAGCAATTGCCAATTTCCTGAAGTTTGATATCTATGATCTTGAGCTGACAGAGGTAAGGTCGAATTCTGCGTTGAGAAAATTGCTTGTTGGAACAGCGAATCGATCGATAATTGTGATCGAGGATATCGATTGCACAATAGATTTGCAGGAGAGGAAGAAGGAGGATGCGGTGGAATCTAGGGGTCGAAATAACTACCATGATGAAAAGGTTGGTATCTCTCTCGTAGTTTGGTTTTTAACTCTCTAAATTTAAAGCCTTTTTAGGAAATCAATGTTTTGGGATTCTATTTTCAGCTATTTCTCAGAAAAACAAATAGTAGCTTTTGCAGCTACACTGATTTAAGTTCAATGGGTATGATCTATACATAGCTTGAAAATAAGTTTCAGCTATTTCTTCAGCAGGTTCAAGTAACAATCAAATCCCATAACTGCACGTAAAAAAGTCTACTTTTTTTTTGCTAGAGCGTCAGTTTGAATGAATCAGACAAAAAGTTATTAAAAAACACACTCAAATTACAAATAAGTTTTTTTTTTTTTTTTTTGCAGGTTACACTATCAGGACTGCTCAACTTCATTGACGGCCTGTGGTCGAGCTGCGGAGATGAGAGAATCATCATCTTCACAACCAACCACAAAGAAAGGCTTGATTCTGCACTGCTAAGGCCGGGCAGGATGGATATGCACATCCATATGTCATATTGCAGCCCTTCTGGCTTCATTACTCTGCTCTCCAACTACCACAATGTCGATAACCATCCTCTCACACCGGAAGTCGAGAGGCTACTGAGGGAGGTTGAAGCCACTCCAGCTGAGGTTGCCGAAGAGTTGATGAAGAGTGATGACAGTGATGATGCCATGCGATGCCTCATCAAATTCTTGGAAGGGAAGAACGTAGAAGCCAGTGAAGAAAACAAGGAGGAGGAAAGCTTGGAAGTGGAGGGTTCAGAGATTGAAGAACTCAAGGAAGGAAAGGAGGACAAGCTAAATGATTAGAGGCATGACAAGGCCTAGCTTCAATAAATTATGTCCTGGTTACATCACAGCTATTCAATCTCTACGTCTCTTATAATTCCACATATTGTGATAATAGCTGTTAATAATGCAGTATAGAGTCTTTTGTGCACTGAAACAAAAAAAAAAAAATTTACAGAAATATGAATTTCATAGCAAAAGTTGACTTGAGTTATTGAGCCTGTGTTACTAAGTATTGGGCTGAATCAAGTTAGGTAAGTTATCATAGGATTTGGTCAAGCACAATTTGACGTGAATGAAACGTTTGCTCTCGGATGGCTAACATTTATTACAATGAAAATCATTGATTTTTTAGTTGTTATGATATATTATGGGTCAAAGTCATTCATAATGTGACTTATTTGTGGGCTTAAGTGAATAATTAAAAACTACAATAGCATGTTTGGAAATTTCTCAAATTAAAATTAAATTATTAGGTGCAGAGCTCGTATGTGCGGATAACCAATGGAGAGATTGCATACAATTTCATTTTTAAATATATATGCATTTATTTCATCATCCATTTTGTTAGAGCTGCTTCATAGCAAAGAGATGGGCTAGAAAATAGACTATATTGGACCTCAATCCTTGATATTAAGGAAGTTGGTGTAGGTTTAGGAGCTTCAATTTAGTATAGTTATAGGTTATGGGGACCTGATGTAATGTCTCATAATCTAATTTAGAAGAATTATTCTTTTCTTTTAATAAATAACACAAGAGCTATCTAATTTCATTGATAAAAAATAAATAACAAAAATAATTCTTAAAATCCAAAACATCATTATATTATAATATATATATAATTATTCTTTTATATATATTATATATAATATATATATATAAATATATACTATATATTATTTGTATTTATTTTTTAAAAAATCATATACACACTCACTGATCTATATAACATATTACAATTATTATGTCATGAAAAAAAATCCAATAAATTAAAAAAAAAAAAAAAAACCTGAAGGATCCTGACACTCTCACACTCCTCGCTGTAAAATGAAAACGAACGACACCTCAGGCCAGTTAGGAACTCCATCGCCTTCTTCGACTCCACTCTTGACACCCTAATCCAAGCCTCCGTCGTCTGATTTCCTCCATCCACATGCTGCAGCTGGTCCTGAACACCGCAAACACCTGTCTCCCTCCTCTTGCTGCACTTCAAGGCCGTCGTCGCATTCCTCATCACGCGGTTAAAATACCCTAAACTCAAAACTTCCCTCTTTTGGTGCTTGTGGCGCACTGTAAAATCACATATATATGTTTATCTCTAGTGTAGTGAGAGAGACCCCGGTGCGGGGCTTGCGGCGAGGCGGGTAATCCCTATACACACTTTTTTTAGCATGGTAGGGACAACTTTAAGTACATGTGCGAGCCTCAGTGTCGGCGCAAAAAAAAACTTTATAATTCTTTCAAATAAGTTTCTCTGAAGACCCATACACACATTTCTCTATCATGGAGGGATTAAAGACCACGGCCGCTATGTGTTTTTCTCTAGCATGGCAGGAAAGCCCAGCTCTCATAAATTTTCCTAAACATGGGAGACATTGGGAGGCTGTCGAATTTTCTAGTGAACATGGGACTTAAATGTGCAACAAGGACCAAAACTTGAACATGAGCTGGGAATATAACTTGTAACCATAGGGAACCAGACCTAATGTTCAACATAAATGTAAATCATGTAATAACAAAATTAAAATAGAAACACGCAAGTCAAAGCTTGAATGAACTAGCAGGGGACTTATGTTGAACAAAACTCCAAGCATGATTTACTTGCAAGCAATGATAAGCAATAATCAACGAAGATGTGTGACCTAGTTACAAGTAAATATATTCTAGCATATGCTACAAATCATACATGAATAATGATGATTGATGTGTGGCATCTGCATCAATCTTGCAAGCAAGCATATCAAACAATAATGCACTTAATGAAATAATCACGAGTGGTAGCAAGAGGTATGCAGCGATAGACTCATAATTAACTATAGGGGGTTTTCACCTCTAGGAAACTTGAACTCATATCATAAAGTCCTTACAAAATGAGGGCGAAATTCATGAATAATGTCTTATTCAAAACCAAATTCGTTTTCTAAAAATTTGCCTCAAAACTTAACGTAAAAAACTCCCCTCAACAACCCAAAAAAAAAAAGGAAGGGGTCCGCGGAGAGGTTGGGCACAAATTTTCGGAGCCCACAGTTGTGTGATAGAAAAATCACCCTCAGACTTAAGAAAAAAATTCTATAAGATAATGGTGAGGCTTGCAATGCTTTATGATGTAGAATGTTAGCCAAAGAGGATGATCAAGTGGAGGAGTGGCTTTACTATTGGAGATAGGATATGAAACGAGCATATATGTAATAAGGTTGGAGTAGCTCCAGTGGAAGATAAGATTAGAGAGTCATCTTAGATGGTTTGGTCATATAAAACAACAGTCTTCTAATGACCCAATTAGATGAGTAGATGTATTAGATTTGGCTTATGGACCTAAAATATTTGGTTAGAAAATATTTAAAACAACCTTACTTTATTATATTTAAATGAGAATTTAACTCTTAACATGACACAATGGAGAAAAAGGATTCATGTAACTGACCTCACGTAGTAGGATAAAAGCTTCATGATGTTGTTTAGGGTTTAGGTAAGAGATATATAATAGATTTTATTTAGTGTTGTTTTAATCTAGGCAAACATATATCCTCGATGTAGAGACTCGCCGAGTAAGTAGATTCAGTAACATATGATCCAATGATTGATTAAGGGGCAACTCTCTAAGAAGATTTGCCCCCATTGTGATTTTAAGAGTAAGGTTGCATAGTAATTAAACTACTTATGACTCTCTCAAAAGAAAGTTGATGTTTTTAATATTTCAAATAGGTTTTTTGTCGTCATCAAAAAAAGGAGATTGTGACCCCATGAGCTCATACTATTTTGAACTCAATTTTGATAATCACGAACATACATTAGAAAAGAAACAATTGTTTATTTGAGCATAAATCAACCAGACATTTAAGACGAATTCAACAATCACCTATATACATGTGAAGCTGCTCAAAATTTAAGCAAATTTTATTTTTGACTTCATATATAATGCGAGTTTGAATCGAGTTTAAGACAACTCAAGCTCAAAAATTTAAAACACTCCAAATTTTAAGTAATATTTAATCAATAATTATTTTTAGATTTACTATAATATATTTTTTATTATACTAAAGCATGTTTTGAATGTATAACTATAGTTGTTTTATAACTTCTTTAAATATTACTTAAAAATTACAAAAAAAAGTAATTATATACTTTATATTAAGCTAATAACATCTTAACAGATTATCACTAAATTATTGTTTGCCATAAAATGTTAGCGCCCACTCCACAATTCTTTTGGATTCACATTTAAAATTTTTTTCAATAAATATTAATGGCCTCCGCTAAGTACGCGACTCACTATTAATGGTTATCTTTGAATCTGTAAAGCAATATATATATATATAATCCAAGTAGAATCAAAGAGGAAACTCCAATATCAAAATTTTTTTCTCTAAACAAAAGATCTTTAGTCTTAGCAAGATTCATATAACAGATCAAACTCTCAACTATTCAGATAGTGTCTGTTTTGCCACCTTGGTATAACTTCCTAGGTAGGGCTCTTAGCGAACCAAGCCAAGCTGAGCTTCGACATGTTCAAGCTCAAGCTCATTTGCCAAGACCGTGTTATCGAGCTTTTTTTATACATGTTCAAGCTCAAGTTCATATATTCATATTCATGCTCTAGCTCGACTCAATTTAAGCTTAACGAGCCTAAATGAGCCCCTATTCAAGCTCAGTTCATTTTAGACTTACAATCCTATTACCGATCTTGAGCCTATTAACAAAATTAAATTAAATTAATTTTCTATTAGCCCGGCTTACCGACTTATTCGCCGAAGGTCAAGGATTTCTTTGTAGACCCGACCCGACCAGAACGTAACTCCCGCTCACCCCTGACGCAGCTCCCAACCGCATTCTATTCGACACACATACACAGAAATCCCCCTCATTCGAACTCTCTTGCACGCAGAAGGATACTTAGCCCGGCTTACTGTCGCCGAAGGACAAGGATTGCTTTGTAGACCCGACCCGACCAGAACGTAACTCCCGCTCACCCCTGACGCAACTCCCAACCCCATTCTATTCGACACCAGAGCCCTGCATTAGGTACCCATACCCACACCCACCAACGTACCCACCCATACCCAATGGGCATGGGTGGGTATGGGTACGCTCATGGCATCGTGGGTGGGTATGGGTGGGTACTCAACATCAAATGACAATTCCGATTTATATTACTAATTATCATATACATGCAGTATATTACAATAATCATTACTACGCAATGTGCAACACTGAACAGCGTCACAACCATTTTAAATTTTGATATGTGCCTTGTAAGTTTGCAGTCAGAGAAAATGGCAAAAAATCCCAAGGCGATTAATCTATGGCAGACTACATTCAATGAGCGTGGAAAGTGGGTGGGTGTAGGTGGGTATGACATCAGGAAAGTCATCATAGGTGGGTGTGGGTGGGCAAAGCCCGCCAGCTCATAGTGTGGGTACCCAATGGGTACCCAACTAGGGAATCCTCTCACATTTCTATGTGATTTACGAGAGAGAGATATATATATATTCAATGGAAGGAAGAGAACAAAGAAGATGGAATTTTTTTCAACAAGCATCATGTAACACTTCACAGTATCACTTAATAGTACTATCAGGTATCACTAATATAACCTCCGTTTCTAAATCATTAAACATTAACATATATTTCCTTCAGTATAGAATTTATAAAATTCTAATAACATATCATTCACTGAATACATGAAAACATCTAAAATTCAAGTTACTCCAAATATAAGCTTACAGAGCACTACAACAAACCAACTAATACAAAATTGAAATATTTTTATACCTCCAAAAGTAGACTTACTAACAAATATAACTTTAACATAAAATGAAGAAACACTTGTATAAATTAACTTGCATCAATCTCCCATTTTCCTTTCATGTAACAAGTTAAGTTGGGTCAGCTACATCCTCTAAATAAGTTGATCAGAGAACATGACAGTCTAGGACGATGAAATCATGGGATCTTACTCGAGTCCATCTTCGCACTCCTCATCACCTGTTTTAAGTTTATGATGATCATATTCAAATCTTAAAAATCTCCAAAACTAAAATTTAAAACCCATAAAGTTGTTGCTACTAGGCATTGGGTACTCAATGCCTATTTCACGACAAGTTGTAATTGAAAGTTTTCTCTTGTTATCGAGAGGGATAATTAATTATATGGACTTGCATCTATAGGAAACTAGAACTCAGATAATAAAGTCCTCATAAAATGAGGTATAAAATCTCTATGAAGTATCTTATCTAAAACTCAATCCGACTTCTAAAAATTTACCCCAAAACCTAAGCTTGTTAAAACTCTCCCGTCAATAAAAAAGCAGTGCAGCGACACAAATTTTTGGAGCCCACAGAAACATTAAGTAAATCAAGTATTCATCAAAGACAGCTCCTTAAGAAGTCTCAATTTGGTGATCTCTCTCCTTAAAAGATCCATCATATGCCAACTATTCTCAATTTGCTAAATAGCAACAATTATAATGTTCTAAAAGGACTTACCAAGTGCATACAACTCCTTCCAATGCAGGTTTAAATCATCCCTACATGGAATGATTTAAAGAGAAGACGCAAATCATATGCTAAATACCAACTATTTTCAATTTGCCAAAAACTAAAATGATCTAAAAGGACTTGTAATTTTAAAAAATTAAAAAAACAATTCGTTGAAAACGGTAGAAAGATCCTTGATGAGAAGAGGTGGTCCATATAATCTTACCTCGAATCTGCTTCCCCCTAAACAGTGTCAAGTAGCCACCAATCTTGAATAAAACATGCTTAAGAAATCCTGGCAAAAGCCTGTTGTCGATCCTGCTTATATTAGGATCCGTTAACAATAGAATCTAAAATCTTTTGTTGTTTGAATATTTTTAACAAAATGGTGCAAAAAGAAAGTTAAATTCCAAGCAGTTTAATTAATTTGAATTTTCAAATCAGTTGTCTGCTGTCAAAATTTTATCGAGATGGATGTTACAGTAAGCTACATATTGGGGTCAGCAATCATATTGAATTCGATGAAAAAAGAAAAAGAACAATTAGAATTACTTAATAATTCATTGTTGCTTGCATGATAGTTTGATCTTCCTATGAATGAAGAGAAAAAGCCTCTAAACTTTCTGTATAAAGAATAGTTGCTGTATGTTATTTGTAAAAACATGGGGATTTCACAATTAGCTCTTCATAACCCAAGATCAAAAACAGGAAAATCCTTTGTGACATCTGAAGTTGCATGAACAGTTGATGCTGCGATGGCGAAGGACACTGACTCATTTCTTTCATCTGTTTGTGAGGCACAAAGAAGCATCAAATTCACATTATAATTCAGAATAAAATAAGAATTAGCAGAGCAGCATCTTATAGAGCCTATGGAAGAAGGATATTGGAAAGAAATACAGAGAGATACTTCTACTCACCGTGCAAAGTGCTCTTTTCATGAGCATCCAAATTGTCCTTCAAAAGGATGCTAGAAGAAGAAAGGTGCTGCTTTCCATTTAGAACTCCCAAGGGGTTTTGCATAGGAAAAATTGGATTCATTTCATTAATCACTTCAATGGAGAATCCAACATCAGAGAGGGCCTTATCTGGTTTATTGGTTTGGCCAGATCCAGACAGCATAGGAACACCCAAAACTTCTGAAGCTTTGACTGCTAAGCCGGTATGTCCCTCAGTATTATTGATGCTCGATTTTGTTGGAGTATCAAGTACGACTGAGCTGAAAGAAATTACGGAGAAGCATGTTAGAAAAATCCTTACACGTAGAACAACCATTCAAATATACCTTGGCATTTTCAGATATCTCACAAGGCGTTTTTTCCTTTCCTTGAAAACACTTGCAAAGAGAGTTTCATTACTAATGAATCCTTAGATTCCCATGTAAACCCTCTACACTCCCTCCCTCCCTTCCTTGTCCACTCACGCATCTGCTCCTAGCCGAATACTTGAAACCCTTATCAACCGCCTCATCCCATCACCCTTCTCCTCCAACTCCGTCAAAACTTGTTTGAAGCTTACGGTAATCCTCCAACCCAATCTCCAAGAAAATGCTACCATTGACATCTCATCGAATTTTCCACTCTTAGCTTTACCCTCTCTACCTCTATATAAGAAAATAAAAAAAGTTCCTTGCACTCAAGGCAGATACAACTTCATCCCCCATACTAGTTTGTTAAGGATAACAAAGTTAAATTTAATAATAACTCACAAGGAGTCAATATCATATATAATGTATTTATATGAGCACACCCAAATATCTCATATCACTAAAGATGTGGTATATGCCCCCTAGCAAGATGGTTAGCTTAATGACCGTAAAATCATATTACGATTATGTGGGCTCCGAAAATTTGCCCCCCAGCCTCTCCGCAGCACCTTTCTTTCTTCCGGTCATCGAGAAAATTTTTAACGAGTAAGTTTCGAGGCAAATTTTTCAGAAGGCATATTTGGTTTTGAATAAGACATTAGCAAAAAATTGCGCCCTCATTTTGCGAGGATTTTATGATCGAAGTTCAGGTTTCCTATAGACGCAAGCCCTTTATAGTTAATTACCCCTCCCAATAACGAAATAGAACTTTCGATTTAGGCTAGTCATCAAACAGATACGTAGTATCTGGTGTTTAGTAGCAGCAGAGTTTAGGTATTTGAAAATTTAACAATTAAAATTAAAAATTCATCACCTCGTACTTAAAGCGGATAGAGGAGGAATGATGATAAACTCGATCAAGATCTCATGGTTCCGTCATCTCAGGCAATCATGGTCCCTAGTTTACTTAGTCAGAAGAGGTATTCAACCCAATCTAACCGATCCTTGTTGGCAGCCATGGGTTATTTTGTCCAAGCAATATTTGTTTAAGGGGATAGATTTGAATCCACCTTAGCTAACAGAGGGCTTTGTGCCCTATTGATCATACCCTATTAATTCATTACTCAAGGATTTGAAGCCGTTAGGAGCATACAGGTTCTGACCATGACCGTAATTTAATGGTGTCATTTGGCGGCAAAACCTCCCAATCATAACCGTTTATATGTTATCTTCTACAAACTGTCACTTTCTTCAATATTCAGCTTGTAGGAGTATGTTTCTAACGACAGATACGTCGTGTGGTGCGCTAGGGGAATCCTACCTGTCGCTTGCAAGTAAGCTGGTATCTGGTGTGATAGCTTGTCTCCACAAATTTGCTGCCTCACTTTATCAGTGGTCCACAATTTTTACTACTGATTCCCTACTTTTGTTTACAAGTGAATCGTGGTGTTTGCGAGTTTTTCTTGTCGTGCGTCGACAATGCAGTTTTGCCCATTTCGTCATCTGCATGTTGTCATCTTCTTCAATATTCAACCTGCAATAGTGTATTTCTATCGGCAAATACGTTGTACAACGCATATGGAGCCCTCCACCAATGCTTCATAGTTTTTGCTAGAAATTCACAACTTCTGTAAGCTACCAAAAGAAGGATCATGGGTAAGAGCTCGGATCCGGCTGGTTGAAGTCTGGTTCGGCCTACTGAAGTCGAACAGAGGTGTCAAATCAGGTAAGGCCGAACAGAATTGGGGGTCTCAGGTTTGGCTTGTAGATGGAAGGTCGGGCTTGCTGCTGTGAGGTCGGCTAGCTCGAGATTCGCAATCAGACGGGAGTTGTTCGGCTTCGACACAGTGGAATTGGTCGATCATGAGGAATGGGATGTGAAGGTGCGGCATGTTCCCTAATGGCTCAACCCTCTTGAGTAATAAATCATAGGGTGTATTTAATATAGCAAAAGCCCTCTATTAGTTAAGGTTGATTTAAGATTATCCCCTTAAGAAAATATCTATTCTAGGTTTATAAGATCCCTTTAGACGATGCAATTCATGGTTGCTGACAAAGAATCTTTCAATCAGGTTAGGTCAAGTACTTCCTTTAACTAAATAGACCAGGGTCCATGACAACCCAAGACATTGGAACCATTAGATCTTAATAGAGTTCATCATCATTCCCTCGCCACTAACTCTATGCCAATGATGGCAAATTTTCACTATCCTAAAACCAAATCGTTGTTCGATAAGTATCTAGTACTATTAATTAATTCTAATCGAAAGTTCTCTTTCATTAACAGAACAGGAGCAATAATTGGTTCTGAGGGCTTGCACCTATAAAAATTTTGGAATCATATCATAAAATCCTTCTAAAATGAGGTTAAAATAAATGAGCGTTTCTATATTGATATTGAATATATATTCTAAAAAATTTATATGGGAACAACTTTCTTAGAAGAGCTGGGTATGAATTTTCAGAGCCAGCGATGAGATGGGAAGTATTAATCTCACAAATCACTGAGGTGGCATGAGTGGATAAGGTGGACTGTTGGCATTGGTGGAAAACTGATGGTTGTCAAATTAATAGACGTGAAATTGATGGAGATTAATTTTTTCACATTATGAAATCTCTTAATTGAACTAATTGAATGTCTTACGGTCAGCTTTTTCACATTTCTCCAAAAGACTTTCAATAAAGCACAAGCAAATACATTTCCAACCAGTAATCTTTGATTATCCTTCCATGTTTTTCCTATATCCACCAAAACATTTATGGCAGGGAATCTTCCCTTTAACTCTAATCCAAATTGGTACTACAGAAAACTATATTGTGCGCATTAAAACCCTAATACATTTGCACCATAAAACCTAAAGATTACTTCAAAAGTAACTGATAAATACGCCAAAGATCAAAATATTAAGATTATTCAATGGATATCTCTCTTCTATGAATGCAATCTGAAATAAAGCATAATTTATCACTTTATCATTTTTCACGAGCAAATATGACAATGTTAGCATATTAAACTAATTCATATGTTCTAATCAAGGTAGGCAAGTTGATTCATATAGTGGCACCACAAAAATAGATCTATCATGCTTCCAGAAAGCACACATTTTATATTCAAATAATCTCTAGATGGATGGAAACTTCTCAGAAATGTGTTAATGATATGTTTAACATACCCAGACGACCAAATTGATGAAGCACGATCATTTTCTGATGTGATTCCCTCAGAATCAGCATCTAGCACAAGTTGGGAAGCTAACATAGAATCTTTTTGTGAATTTGCAGATTTTAAACCATGGCATGATGATGTTCCAGTCTTTTCAGAGGACACTGCATTCAGCCACGCATGATAATTGTTGTGCAGGTGGAAGTGAACATGTCAACAGCACATTAAGCGGCAAACTTACTCTGCAAATCAAGCTGGTTTTTATCTGAAGATTGTGAGGTAAAACCCTGCTCCTCAAATGGATCCAATAAAACAAGGCTCCCATCAGGACTTGGCCTCTTAACAACTGATAGAATCTGCCCGGCTGAATAGGAACAGCAAAGATATCTTAAACGTAAACTAAAAAAATGACAAAAATAAGAAATATATCAGAATCTGAGATCTTAGAGCTAGCTAGCAAACGAATAAGACATACAACCTATTGACTTATTGAAGCATGAAATAATATAATTGTATTCCTGACTGGTACAGATAACCATCGGACATGTATATCAAATGGAAAACTGCTCAAGTAAGAAACGAGAAGGATAAAAAAAAAGGCATAAAAATACCATCACGTAAAGGTGCAGAACTAGAACTGATGAAGCTACCCAATTTTGACTCGCAATTATTTGTAACTTTCTTAGAAAGATCCGTAGAGAGATCTGTATAGTTACGCAAATAAAGAATCATCAATATATAAATGTGAAAAATGACTATGCTTTAAAGTAGACTTAGAGGATATTTAGCATCCACGAAGAAGAACAAGAATAAAAAGACAAGACAAATAATCAATATTTAATTAAAGACAAATCACTGCAAATAATGGCTTACTGCTAGGAGCGGCAGAAGACCTAGCATTTGGGGTTCTACAACCAGTTTCCTTTTTGGGAGCTGCACATAGGTCAAATTAACCCTGTTAAATAAAGATAGCATTTTATTATTGCATTCCATTATATAGACAGAAAAGATAAACAGGTATATGTTCCTGTAGTTGCACAAAATGAGAAGATAAAACCTAATATATCAGATTCTGTAAATCCAATTAAATAGCTCCAAAGATTTTTTTTTAAATTTTAAGCAGATTTAAGGTTACAATTAAAAGGGTTTATGAAATTTCCAGTTTTAGAATTTCTTTTTCTATAACAAATATTCTAATGAGAATAAAGAGGTTTAACTACATAGGTACATAACCAACCATATTTGTGTAAACCTGTCTAAATTTACTAATTCATATGTTCTGCATAGGTGCATTGAGCAGGCAAGCGCATGTGCATAATGAATAATGGTATGATGGACCAATCAGAATTTAAAAGCAAACCTATAAGCTCAAAAAAGATGCGCCTTGAGAAACAAAGATATAAAACATACTTGATAACTTTTGCTCACGAATCGTTCAAATATAATTTCAAGACTACGGTGATACTAAACAATTACAGATGTATTTTACAAGAAATTAACTGTAAGGGGAACTAAACTCATGAACATACAATGAAGCTATAGGAGGAGAAGTGGGAACAATATTAAGGAAAATCACTTTATTATTAATTATTTTGGTCTTATGCCATAAAGATAAACTGCACAAGTGATCTTCATTCTAAAACAATTAATAAAAAATAAAAAAAGAAACATAAGGACCTCCATGTGATTTTTATTATCACTTCATGGAAGTACCACAAGAATTGATTTGAGTGCCACAGAAGCTGATAGAATGGATATTGACAAAGTAAAGTTGAATCTAAAAGGTACATTGAAGTTATTTAAAAATATAGATTTTAGAATAGATTGTGGATTCATTAAAAAGTTTTTCAATTATAAAAAGGTTGCATAAAAGGTAAACATTTAAGACTGACATTTTTAATATTAGACATGAACTTTCTTACAGCATATATTCTAAATGGAGTGCTCGATGCATGTATTATCAATGAAACAAAGCACGAGTTAAGATTGTATTTTAAGTTGAACATTAGAACAACAGAGAAAAACTTGAAAAGGAAAGAAAGGTTCAGAATTAGTAAAATCAAAATTGAATACATCGATGACATTTCAGTGACATGTGGAACAAATAATAATCAATCATTAATATTAAAGCATCAAGTTATATTTAGTTAGAAAGCTAAGATTTCTTGGCTCTTTAATAACTCAAAACAATGGGAATATGAGTGAGGGTATAATTAGGTGAATTAAAAGAGAGGCAGTTTAGATGGATGGATGTCATAGAAGCATCATATAATAAGAGAAGTTAACAAAGTTTTTAAGGTAAACTAATAATTATTTGAGAGAGATTGGGAGCGGGAGTAACAAAATGAAGGCAAAGTTGATGATCATATAGATAAAATAGAGTGCAAAAGATACACCAATAAGATGAGTAGAATTTAGATGAGAAGTGTACAAAGGAAAAAAATGAAAAGAAAAGAAAAGTAAAGGAATAGAAAAAATTAATATAGCTAGAAATGATAAAATAAATGATTTGCCAACGAATCATGTATAAAGACAATATGAATGTATAGATAAGAAGAATCCCTAAGCCATCCCAAAATTATTCGAATAATGTTATTGATTATGATGCAATGACCCAAAAAATATCATTTATTTAATTAGTAAATACTAACACTAAAATTATTAATTAATTTAAAATTATGAATAATTTAAAGACTTAATAAAGCCTTCGATATATAATTGACATAAAATGAACTAATTGTTTAAAATAATAAGTTGTTATTTCAATTATATAAAAAAATTAAATTTTGAGAGAGACTAATTTGCTCAATAAATTTTATTGAAATAAGACATCATAATTAATTAATAAATTATAATAAAAATATTAATTAAAGAATAAATAAATAAACTAGCCTAAAGTTGATTTCATTAATTACAAAACTTAAAAAAGGGTAGGGAGGGACGCACTGAGCGGAATAGGTGAGAACAAGGGTAAGGGTAAGGGCAAGAGCAAGAGACTCCAAGAGTGAAGGGGGGTGAAGCATACAAGCAAGAGCGATGTCGACAGAGACGATGGAGGTGGCCACTAGCATGCAAGAAGCTAAGCACTACGGGTTGGAGACGTAAGATATTTCATCCCTAATTCATAAAGTAAATTTGCTTTAGTATTATGCATGTAGACCTTTATATTCATTTAGACTTGAATGTAGATTGTAGACTACATTCTAGATACTTCTTCATATTGCAAACTGCATGTATGTCCAATCATTCATAATTAAATGATCATGCATAAATTTTTAAATTATGTAAACCACGTGTTTTATATTAATATTTTATTAAATTTTAATTTTAAAAAGATCATTTGGGACATATGAATTAACAATGGTGTATAATGTTGATAGTATATCTCGATAAATGAGATACATATTTACATATTCTACAATGCAAAAAAATATGATAAAGGTAATATTATGTGAGATAGGTTGGCAATATTATATTTATGATGATATGTACAGGTGGGGTTATAAGGTCAGCAATATAGAGGAAAAGGATCCTCAACTCTTGACATAGATATAAGGCTAGTTTTAATAGCAATAATGTTGGGTTATGCTTGGTCTCTATAAAACTTTAAGATGTTAGCCTACAAGTTGGGTTACAACCCTATGATATGTGATGTGGATTGAAGACAATCCACTACCTTATGGAGGCCAATGAATATAGACATTTATGCAATGACATATTCAAAATCTAAGATAAGATATTTTATGTTAAAAATAAATAAAATAAACAAATGAATGACATGTTGTAATCAATTAAGTATGTTGACACTAATAAAGTTACTGATATACTGCATTTAAGGCTTCGATATTTAACATTGCTTTTAAAAATTCCTTCAGTCACATTACATCAGTCTAAAATTTGCAATATTTCTCCACTACATTAGAACAACAAGCACGAGTAGAAAAATTTGAATTTCCCTACCATGCTAAGGAAAACACGCAAAAAGTTTGCCCGCTACATCGTGAACAGCATCTCTGAGTTTCTTTTGTCATGCTAAGAAACGTACACATGCTATGATCAACTCACAATCGGGATTTCAAGTATTTTAAGAATTTGCAAGCATATACCTTCATGCATGAAGTGGTGATGACAATGATGGGTGAGACAAGCCTACAAAGCAAATAGGCATAATTTTTTCTTTCTTTTTTTCTATTTCTATTAGAGAGATAAAGGGGAGAGAGAATGGAAGGGAGAAGGTCAGAGAAAAAGAGAAAGGGAGAGAAAGAAGGAAAGAGAAGAAGAACGAGGAAAAAAGAGAGATAGAAAGATAAAGACAGAAAGAGAGAGGAAGAGAGCGAGAGACTCTTACAAAGAGAGTGAAAGAGGGGGAGAGATAGAGTGTGTGAGTAAAAGAGAGAAAGAGAGAGATAGAGAAGGGAGAGAAAGAGAGAGGGAGGGAGAGACATCGATAGGGGTTGTAATGGTTGGTCGGGCGGATGATGAAGATGGTGGTGGTTTTGGTAGGAAACAAGCTAGGTTGAGTAGGCAACTGTGAGCTAGAGCAGGTAGGGTTTTCAAGGCTTTTGACTAGGAGCAAACAGGAGGAAGAGGTGGCGATAAAGAGTCATAGAGAGAGGTAAATTGAATAGCAAGAAGGGGTGTTAGTGATTTCACACATGGAGATGGATGGGGGTGACATGCATGGTATACGGGTGGAGAGAGAAGATCATGCAAGGGTATTGAGATTTTTTTATATCAGGTCAACATCTTGTAAAATATTTGCATTTTAAGAAGGCAAAAATTTGAAGAGTGAACTCCAACTATATAATAAAGCATTAATTGAACAACGCTTAAAAGAAGATTTAAAAATAAAGTTAACTATAATATTACGGTAGAAAAAACAAACCACTGGACAATGGAATTTTGCGAGCTTTCCTATAAGTGATAGCTTTGTTAAATTTTTCAGGTTTAGAAGGCACAACTTGATTCATAGAATCCTTCATGTGAAGATCTTTGCATGAGGGAAAATTACTGTGGCCATCTGTATCAACCAAAAAAACTGAAATCAGGAATAATAATTAACGCTTCTTCATTTATTCAAAGAATTCTGAAGATAAAAGAAACTATAAATATCAAAACTATTCAAGATTAGGTACAGTATCAAACACAAACTATACTTGTGTATTCCCACTAAATTCTATAGCACGGTTTCCAGAAATATATTTACCTTGTCCAGCTGCAGAAGTTCTTTTTTCACAGATCTCCACAAGGTAGTTAGGAAATTCACAGTTTTTCCCCGTCTCCAAGCATGCAACAGACGTAAGATATTTGCTGCTCAGTACGGCCCCATCTTCAGTCAACAAAGTAATCTAAGGTCATGAAAATAATCAAGAACTGTCAGCTGCACAAAGGATGAGCTTTTTACTGATTTAATGCATACTAAAAGATAAATAAAATAAATAACAAACTGTGGACTCCGAAAATTCGCACCTTGACCTCCCCTCTTTCGGGGGAGTTTTAACGGATTAAGTTCCGCAGTAATTTTCAAAAGGCGGATTGGGTTTGTACATAAGACACTACCCAGAGATTTCACCGTCATTTTGCAAGGACTTTAAGATCTGAGTTTTGGTTTACTATAGGCGCAAGTACCTACAGTTAATTACCCCTCCCAGTAACGAGAGAGAACTTTCGATTAAGGGTAGTCATCAATCAAATACATAGAGAATATGTGATATCCGATGTATAGTAGCAGCATGAGTTTAAGTGTTTGAAGGTTTGATATTTAAAACTGAGAATTTCACCATCTTGTATTTAAAGCAGATGGTGGAGGAAATGATGACGGACCTGATCCAAATCTCATGGTTCTGTCGTTAAGAGTCATCGTGGTTCCTAGTCTACTTAGTCAGAGGAGGTAGTCGACCCAACCTGATAGAAGTATCGTTGTCGGCAACAAGGGGTTGCGTCGTCCAAGAGTACCTTGTAGACCTGGGGTGGATGTTTGTCAAAGGGAATAAATTTGAATCCATCTTAGCTAACAGAGGGCTTTGTGTCCTATCAATTATATCATATTGATTTATATCTCAAAGATTTAATGTCATTGTGGAGCATATAGGCTCTGGCCATGACCATAATTTAGTAGTGTCATTTGGCCGCAAACCACCTGGTTCAGAGGGCCTCGATCATAATCGTTTGCTCACGGTGCCATTTGAGAGCAAAATCACTAATTAGAGGACACGTGTCATGTCTTTTCTTGCAAGAGACTATTTGAGAATGAATACTAATGATATTCTCGACCAGACATTAACTCTTTATGAGCTGAAGTGATATTTGGATTTGTCCACCTCGGTAAATTGTTGCGGAGGATAGAAGAGTTTTGCTTTAAGTTTTTTATGGTTGAATTTTGATTTTGAATATTTTGAATTTGATATTTTCTTGGAGATTTGGATTTCATGGGTATTTGGGTGGCAATTGTAAATATTTGAAATTGACCCATCCAGTTGAGATTTACGTTCAACACGGACATCATCGGGATATTTATGAGGATTTTTATTTCATTGATTGAACCTTATCGACTCATTAATTGCCGACATAGGATCGGATTCGAGTCTAATGTATGATTTTATTTAATGAACTTTTTTTATTTTAGAACTTGAAGGCCTAATATGAACATATTAAAACAAATATCTAGGTCGATACCGTGATCATATATTTGTTTGATAGTTAGAGCCGTGACGACTCCTATTTATCCACATAGAATGATCGGGCTCGAACTTAAGTTCACTTATTGACCCGCGCAACATCCTTATAGGTCACGTGTGTGCCCGTAACACGCTCGTCGGGGCCCATGCAAGTATTTAGGGGATATTTTATAATTATCTATTGAATTTTGTTTACTCTGTCTAATTGTTAGCAAAGGATCGGGTTCGTTGTTGGTTTTGTGCCTTTGTTAGTGAATTTTCATTTTTATAGACCTTGAAGACCTAATATAAACATATTAAACAAATATTTAGGTCGACACTACGACCGTACATTTGTTTGATGATTAGAGATATGTCGACTTCTATCTACTCAAGTAGGAGGATCGGGGTTGACCTTAAGTTTATTATTTGACCCATGCAGCATCCCTAAATATCAAGTGTAAACTCGTAACACTCTCACCAGGACCCATACAGGTGTATATTTGCATATGCATTTCTTTGTGTTTGTGTGCATACATATTGTAGTGCATGTGTGGGGGGGGGGGGTATTTTAAAATGTTTGACGCCGGCCAGTTGTATGGGCAACTGTCATTTGAATATGTGTGATGCTCTATTTGAGAACTCGTAGATGTCTTCTATCCATTCGGTGGCATGACGTCACATCGTAAATTATATGCTACTTTATGCAGGTAGATTGTCGTGCAATAACAAAACCTCCTGTTATGCATTTGTAGATGGCCTGTTAAAAGCATGATATTCCTATAGTAACTTGTAGGCATTTGCACTTGATGTAGTCTCTTTGCATTTTGCTTATGGACAACACACGGGGTGTACGACGGGACTTCTATAGCAACTCGTAGGGCTTACATCTATTGCATATCATCCATTTCTACTTGCGATGGGTCATCGTACTTGCTTGATAATCATTCATCATTAACTGATGTTGGCCTCTGTTAAGTAAAAGAAAAAAAACAAAAAAAAAAATCAATTTCAAATCTCACCTGCTCTCTGCCATCCCACGTCCCTGGCATGCCGAGATCGCCTCTCCCACGTCGCACGTCGAGGCTCGCACGACCCAACGTCTCATCCCACACGACTAGTTTGAGTCGTTAAATACCAAAGGGAAACGAGAGAGCAAAGCTCTCGCTGCCTGGCTCCGCTCCTTCACTGTCGTCGCTGCTTCCAATCGAGCTCTGCCTCCCTCAACTCCAGTCCGACGTCGAAGCCTCAATCCCTCTCCCTCCGACACGCTTGTCCAGCTCCTTCGCGGTAGTTCGACTTTGCTCCTCCGACATTTCTTCCAGTCGGATCGAAGTTACGACATTTTGTTCGGAAGCAACGGGCGCCCGACGGCTGTGAAGATAACTTTCCTTCGTTCGCACGCCTCTTTGGCCCTTAGTCGTTGCTCGACTTTGCTCTTCCGACGACCTTACCTGCCTGTAGGATCGGAAGTCACGACATTTTGATCCTGAAGCAAGAACGAGAGTTCGTTGGTGAGGAAGGTAACTTTCTCCCTATCGTGTGCTTCATTCGGCCAAATCTCATAAATCTGCCGAGTTTAAAAAATAAATAAATAAATAAATAAGAGAGCTTGCTTCTCCCGCCTCAACATCCTCTTACCTTCCACCCCGACGACCGCCGGTCCACCGGCCCCGAAGGTATAACCCCTAAACTCAAGCTTCCGTCCTCGACGTGTACGACAGACCGGTAGACCACCTAAGCACGCCTTTGTTGAGCATGGTAGGAGGAAATCCGGTCCGACGCCTACGACGAGGCGGACAGTCGCCTCCCTTCTCGCTCTCTTACCTCGTCGCTCTCTTACCTCGGCATGCGTGTCGAGTCGGTGGTCTACCTATGCACGCCTTTATTGAGCGTGGTGGGAAGGGCAACTGGCGCGACACCTACGACAAGGTAAGCGAGCGACCCTCGCCCTCCTACTTCGACATGCGTGTCGGACCGGCAAACCACCTAAGCACGCCTTTAGTGAGCATGATAGGAGGAAAATCGGTTCGACGCACACGGCGAGGCCAGCGAGCCTGGTGTACCCTTTTCTTTGCGCGTCCGGAATAATTTATAAGTACCCCCGGGCGAGGAGAAAGCAACTGCTCTTCTTCTTGTAACAGGTACCGTCAAAGACCCCGTGCACGCCTTTATTGCGCGTGGTGGGAAGAAAAATCACGGCCGCGGTGTCCTCGAAAGAGGGCACCTACCATGCACGCCTTTATTGCGCGTGGTGGGAAGGCACAGTTTTCTCGTTGTTTTCCCCTAAACAGGGGAGATGCCGGGAGGCTGCCGAAATTTCGGGTGAAATGTTACTACACTTGGACCTGTTTTGAACTCAAAAGAACAAAAATTTGGACGAAATGAGAAAGAGCAGTGAACTTTTGGAACATGAACATGAACAGTAGATTTGTGGACCGTCGAACTTGATTGAACACGAGCAGAGGACCTGAACAAAACATAAATGATTTCTAAAGAAATCCAAATTCAAATGAAATAAAATCATACTTGAACCAAACTCAAGTCAACTTGGACATTCAAATGAACTTGCAAAGAACTTCAGAAGACTCTGAACAAGCACTCGAACATGTACTTGAACTTGAGGACTTGGACATCAGGGGACCCCGAACATAGAACTCAAGCTCAAGTAAACTCTAACATGAATTGAACAAGGTTTCAGAAGACTTGAACTTCTAAGAACAACACACAAGATCTCAATGCATGCAAGTAAATAATGTATCGGACTCTTACAACAGTCTCTACGAAATCGGGAGCACCGTACCTGCAAGAATGAGATGCATTGGTGTCCCTCCTACATGCACCTGAAACCACTCTCAAACACTAGCAACAACGCCTGTAGATTGAGATGGCAAAACTGGCATTTGATAGTGGAAGATCCGCCTCTACAAACAAGTACAATCAACAAACCCACCTGAGATTGGTGACAGGTGAGCATGATGTGGGAACAGTGGGTCTTCTACGAATACTTCTAGGAGGTCATAATTGATACAGCAGTCCCCTGCAAATGACTACAAACCACTTGTGGATAACAACAGTGAGAACCTCGTAAGCATAGCGAACCACTGTGGACACAAGTATGGATATCACCTATGACAGTGATGGTCAAAATCTACAAGTACAC